TTACTGCCCAGTAGTCTTACACAGATCAAAAGTGTTGCTCATACCATAACACAATGCAAAAATCTGTACATAAGTTACAAGGGTTCCATCAACTACTTACAAAAAACACTTCTCCACACAAATGCAGTCCTCCTGCCAAAATTTTGAGTCCCCTCTTTCAAGTGTGGATACAATTGAGCTTTTATTGAATTTTGTAATAATCAACATATTGAAAAAATATGGACTAATTTACCAGAACTTTCCCCAAAAAATCCAGCCTACAGGACACAGTTAAGAGAAGTTATCAGCAACAGGGAATTGTCAGGTTTGAATACAGCAAGTTTTCTGCTATACTGATGATTGTAACACTATTTTTTACTCTTCCATGATGATGATGGTGTTGGAAAGTTTCAGCCAACAGCTGTATGATATCCAGGAATAATCAGTTTATGCTTTACACTTTTAGAAGAGCTTCCAATTATTACGCTTAAGAACATACCTTAATTTTTACTTGTTACAGATGTGTTCATATAGATGTTTTTGCTATTTATAGCATTTTATGATCAATAACCTACTGATGAGTAACTTGATGTGCAGATGTTAAATCTGGGTCAGAAGATTCCATGGGGTCAAAACTTTTGCTCTGCATTCAGTTTGGCTGTTATTTATCTGAAGGTATTTGGATCTTACAGTGCATTATGTGACTATCATACATCAGAATTAATGATCTTCCCTTACTTGCTATGGCAATCTCATGACTGAGGATAGTTTTGGGTTTTTTTCCCCTCTAACAACTGCTATGGGGAATTTCTATTATGATCAGAAGGTGAAATACAGATTCTTTCTTTATACAGTGAATTCCTTCACTTTCCGTTATATACTGATTATACTTCTAACACTACACAGTACCTAAATTTCATCAGGAAGATCATCAGGAATACTTGGAATTAAGAAATATTTAAGAAATTTTGTACAACTATCCTCCTGTTTTCAAAAAAGTAATCATAAGAATAATTTGATCTTTTGCCAAAGTTAGAAAGTTGTATTTTAGTACCATAATATAAATCTGTACTCAGTGGTATCATAAGCTTGAAAAATCATTTTTATTAACATACAAAAAAGAATAAGGAAAACAGACATTGTAATTAAACATTTGTTTTCATCTACAAATAAGTACCATGAGTAACAAAACAATAAAATAATTATTTAAGTTCCTGTGAACAGTTAGAAACAGGGTAAGGAATTTTCTGACATAGAAGCAAAAGAGTCTTCTGAAATAGAAAATATTTTGGCAATATCTATTAGTCTCTCAATAAAATATTCATGTAAACAAGTAATCCATATTTACAATATCATATGCAATCTTCTTGGTTACATGTAGTAAGAAGTGTACATGTAATTACTGTACATTCAATTTTAAAATCTAGTTTGCACCATCATTTCTCAATTTCATTAATGTTGGAAAAACCACTGCTCTGCTTCTGTGTGCAGTACTGCATGACAGCATGTAAATACATTAAAAAAATAATTTTTTTTCAGACATCTTAAAAAAATAGCACTTTTAATGTTAGGTTTTGTAACTTCCTATGTTTTTATAGGAATCCAAATTTGGAATGTAAGCTCTACAATCACGTCCCTGTAAAAATAACAATGTAGAAGATTTCCAAACATGCAGAAAAATCCTGATAAAAAAGCTAGAGTTCTACCTTCTATTTATATATTTGAAAATATACCTTTTTATTTCCCATTTGCTACTATTACACATAAATACAGGTAAGAAAAATTGCATGAAAGGAAAGTTAATGGAAGGCCACTTTGAGAAGCAGCTTTAGGAATATGTTTTTTTACAGAGAAAGTTACTCTCCAAAAGTTCTATATTTTTTTATTTAGCACTTGAACTAACCTCATATGTTGCAAGGATACTTAAAGACCTTTTTAATCAGCTTAGAACAGAAACCAAAAGACTATAGCTTGTTGAGTCTGTTTTAAATTGCACACACCATGGTTGAGCAAGGTTTAGGAGCTCACAGCTACCGCATCTCACGGGGACCGTCCAAAGACCAAAGCAGCCAGAAGCCCACAGCTCATACACATGAGATATCACTGATTATAGTAATTTCCCAGAATGGAATCTTCCAGCTCCCACTGAGTTTCTACTCTCACGTATAACCTCGAAGTTGAATAACAAAAATATAGTCTGGCAGACTACCCTCAAAAGGTTGCTAATCCTTGATTTTCAATTAGTTTTATATCGTCAGAATAGAGAAGTGAAGAAATGCCACCATTCTTTTTCAAGTATCATTACTCTTGACAGTACATGGAATAAAATGGAAAACAGAAGGCATACTGGTTACTATAGCTTAACTTTAACAGCATGTAGAACCATTCACCTAAAAGCTGTTGATTTCAATACATCCAAGTCAGTGTTATAACAAAAGAAATCACAGATTTTGTGGGTTTTTTCCCCGATACACTGTACAGTTAGAATTTCTTCCAGAACAATCCTTAGACAAGTGACTACCTTCCACACAAACACATGCTTTTATTAGATGACTTAGTGCTCGGCAAGGATTGAATGAGCTCATTTTCACAGGTAGATGAGACATAGTAACAGGCCAATACGTACCAACTTAAAATGTTGTTGCCTGTGTGAGTGCAGTATAGAACGCTAGCATAGTAAATTACTATGCAATTACTGGTTGAGTTCATTTATTCACTTCATCTGTTATACTTCAAAAGTGTTAGTAGAGCATCTCTCACAAAGACTAAACGTGCATCCACCAGCTGTAAGATGCTTACTGATTTCACGAAAAAAGCAGACTTGTTGAGCAGACCATAACAAGATCAGAAGAAGACAGCACAGTTTAGTGTTCTCCAGAAGCTACTGCGAATCCCTCTTCCTACTTAATGTTCAATATATAAATTTGTAATAAGATGCATAACATAACCATGTCATGTCAGTTGAGCACTAATGTAATGTAAAACAAGTGCTCTTATTTTTCTCTCAGAAAGCTGCTATCAGTACCATTTGGATTTTATGCTGAAGCTGCGCAGAACAATTTTAGGGAAGAGATAGTTGTATGGAACTTGAAAAACAGGGAAGAAGCTGTCTGATCCATTGCACATAGTGGGACTGGAGGAGTGTTCACACAGTAGGATAGTACTCCTTCTGTCATACCTGAATTCTACACTAAGGCATTTAAAAGCAGGTATTTTCTCAAATGAAACAATACACCAATGCTAGGTGGCTCTGCAAACATAGGTAAGTGAAAACATAGAACTCTGGGGTGTAGTCCTTGAGTACCAAATGGTACAGCAGAAAAGTTTTTCAAATAATTTAGTATGCTAGCTTTCTATACTGCATTCACCAAATAATTAAATGTTATTACGAATCAGATAACAGGAACTGAGGTGCTTCTTGTCAGAGAAGATCCAAAATAACTCATGACCAAAATTGTTTTGTACTAACACAACACTGAACTACAAAAATTGCATATTTGCTAAAGTTTAATGTGTTTAAACATTTTAAAAAGCTGAAGTAGATAAAAATTTATGTAGTCTTTAAAAAAATAGGAAATTATATGCTGTCTGAAACTTTATTTTGCAACACAAACAGTGGTAAATTTGGACTTGTAGTGGGCTCTGCAGCTTTTACAAGAGATTATAATAGAAAGACTCATCATTTTGGACATGTGCAACCAAAATAATCTAGTATAACTATTCTTCTATAGTAGTAAAAAAAATAAGTATTGTTTATATCTGTGAAAATAATGAATGAGCATAATACATTAACACTCCGATTACTGGAAAGAGCTATAAAAGTAAAGTGCCAGTAGAGACTCAAATTGCATTATTTAACACTTTAATTTCAAATTAAAAAGTCATAGAGTTTATATAGTTTGCATATAGACTAAAGTATATCTTCATGCCCGTGACGATAATGATTTTGACACCAGTGTGGAGATACCAAAATTGGCTTTCTGATAATGGGTAGCGTTTTAATCAAATCAGCAAAGCTCAGCTGTTTCTTGGAGGAAGCATTTCTCACTTCAAGCTCCTTTCTTCTGTGAGACTGCTAGCAGTCTTTTCTGGTTTCTAACCTGATTTCTAGTCTAGTGCCATAAATCAATAGAACTGTGCAATCAAATAAAGTTTGATTATCAAAAGTAAAATGCTGCCTTCTGGGATAAAAGGAAGGCTTGGTTTAAGTAATACATATTTTTCTAAGTGTGTATCTATAGCTTTCCAAATAAGACAAATTCTGCATTTGCATGTCTTCCAATTTCCTTAGAGTGATCACACATAATCCAAAGCCAAATGTTGTCTGTATACAATATATTTGGTAGAGTTGGTTAAAAAGTCAACAGATGTGTTCTGATTAAAAAAAACAAACAAACAAAAACATAGAATTTTTTAAAGGAAACATAACATTTAATGAAGATTTCAGGCCAACTTTCATTTCTTTTCTTGAATTCAAAATTTTAGACTAAATGTTTTTATGGTGCAACTCTGCAAAGTGCTGAATGACCTCAAATCCCATAGATCTTAGCAGCTGGTGAGGGGGTTAATCAGCTTGAGAAATCAGGGCTTTAAAAAAGTGAACATTACCAGAAAAATTATGTGTGACCAACTAAAGTTTGCTGTCTGGTATACTTCATGACTCTGATTCATAACCTGCAAAATCACTCAGAGCAAAATTTAGTCTGAATCTTGTTAACTTTTCATGACTATAGGAGATATAAGCATTAAATTAAAAAGTGATAGGGAAAACATTTTCCAATTATGTGATTTTCCCATTATGTGATGTCATTCACACTCTCATTTTTTAAATGAGGACCGAGCATGAACCAATATAATATGTTTGGGACTTACTGGAATTTAAATTCATATGCAGAAAACTTGAGTATCTTTGAGCAAGCCATACTGAAAAAAACCCCCAACCTATTTATATATCAGTATAACTAGGAATTGGAAGGAACCGGGGTGGGGGGGGGGGTGGGGGGTGGGGGGGGGGGGGGGGTTGGCAGTGTAATAGTACTGTTATTCTGTGTATTTTCTTTACATAGTTGATCGTTGGCCTGCTTCATCAAGTTTGAGGTTTTGTTTTCTGGCTGCTTCACTATTGATCCTCAGATCAGATTTATCTGCATTACTACCATCTGTCATTGTGGATTCTGCTTCTGCACCTTCAGGAGTCCCTCCAATGGGCCGCAGAACTTTAGCATTCTCTTCTGGGGGGCGCTTCCAATGGGACCTGCTTGCCATCCACAAAATAAGTGCACCAAATATGACAAGCAAAAGACCAAGACAGTTGACAAAAGTTGCCTCTGGTGGGGATGCACTATATGCAGGATTTTTCCTTTGGAAGGGGGGAAAAGAAAAGGTCAGTTGTTTTAGAGACAATCCTGGTCTAAAAACAGCAGTCTCTTTCTAGGTAGGAGGTCTTTTTAAAACAAAACAAAATGGAAGTACAGTTTGCAATGATTAACCTTAATAAACAAGTGAAAAAAAATACTTACAATGAAAATATAAGCTTTTCTGTGATTCCCATGAGAGCTGTTGCAATCACTGTTGCAAAGATGGTAAGACCCGAATAAACGTGTATTGGCATGAGAGCTGCTCGGAGAGGAACTGGAGCAAAAGGGAGCAGAAAGACAGCAAAACCCAAGAAAAGCTAAACAGAAAACAGATTCATAGTTAAAGCTATATGGGAAACAAGCTGCACTTCTCAAGCAGAATAAAAATCATCATAAAAATTCCATTTTGAGATGTCTTCAGGTACAAATTTGAAAAGAATTGGCATTTTTATTTCTGAATATGTTTCTCTTCAAAACCAAAGCAATAATTTTGGATTAGCACCTGGGAAGCAGAAATGAAATATTTTATAAATAATCCCACCTAATATCAGTGTCCAAACTTACTGGTAGTGCTAAAACTGCCACTGCAAGTACTGGAAACACAAGTTTTCAGTGTAACTAATGCAGTAACATATTAAAGGTGTGAGTAGCTACATTTTTACAGTCTCTTCAATTCCTGTTCTCTGCTTCTGTTACAGATTTACACATAAATGAAGATCTCAAGGCAGTCTAACCTTCTGACTTGAGTAGACTAAATAATTTTGCCGTGTTAGAGTTTTTGTTAAATTAAAGCACATGTCTTTAGAAGATCAATGGTCTATATCTCCATATAATAATCAGTTGGCATTTACAGAATGAAGATGTGTGTGCATGGTGTGAAGTTATTCAGGGGACATGAGTCCTCCCATTAGCACTAATTTTGTGACGGAAGATAACCCATCGTGTCACATGGTTTCCATCACAGGCTTGCCCAGTCATGTTGAGGTTGCATCCCTTCAGTTTGTTCTACCGTTACTCACCCCTGCTGCTAAATTAGAAATAGTGCATGAATTTGTATTTCATCTTGCTTTAACTTCCAGTCTTAGTCCTTGTTTTGTCTTTCCATGCTGGATTAAAGAACCTGGTATTTCCTCCCTGGGAAGCTTTTTAATACACCATAATCAAGTCATCTCTTAATCTTCTTTAGATCTGCTAAGCAGTTGGAGCTTTTTAAGTCTTTCACTGGAAGATAGTTTTTCCAACTCTCAAATTACTTTTCCAGATTTTCTTTGCTTCTTTTTTCTCTTTTTTTACATTAAAAAAAAAATTATTCCATAGTATTTCAGATTAGTTTTGCCAATGCCATATATGGAGGTTAAGATAATCTCTTACTAGAGAATTTACTTTTCCTGTTGTCACAGCATCGTGAGAACTCATTTTGAGCTTCATGTCGTCTTTGAGTACTTCTTTCCAGAGACATTGCTTTCCAAGAGGCAGTCTCCATTTTACATTTCTGCCCTATTCTTAAATTCATGTCCTTGTGCTATACTGTATTAACATACATTTGGCTTAAATACAATAAATTTAAACTATTGTTCCTGTAGGTATAGTATTTTGTGAGCATTCCCTCAATAATTTTTCAGTTCTGAGATGGACATACCATTTCTGGCAAATGCCAAGTGTCTTCTCTATTAACAGAGATACTACTTTATGACTGTTTTTTAACAATAGTGCTCAATCGCCTAACAAACATCAGTCTCTGACTGGAGACTTGTATCCCAGTTTGGAGGAAGTAACACCACAAGTTCTATTGATGAGACAGGCAAGGCATTAAGTGCCATTGATCATGTTTATAGTAGCAAAATGAAAAGTAGAATTAAGATCTTATTCACAATTCTTTATCTTAACCATTAGGAAAAGTGCTGATGATATAGTGGCAGCACAGATTTCCCTGAAATAACTGCATTATTAAGACAAGGAAATCTTAACACTGTTCCTTCTTATTCATTAGCTGTTGTTCAACTATAAAGAATATACTCAGCAACGCTGCAATATGCTTTCTTTTTCCTAAGTGTTAAAAACACTATTTCAACTCTATTTATTTCCTTTACCTCCTAGCCTGAGCAGTGAAGGGTAAAAGTCCAGAACCCAAATCGCTCAGCTGGGGCTTTTCTGTGCTTGATCACCAGATAATTAAGTCTATTTTTTTCTTTTTAGTGTTTTGGCAAAACAATTAAGAATCACAATTTGAAGAAACAAAATAAATTTCCATAGTGTAATAACACAATATAGGAATTCAGAATGTATATGCAGAAACATCACATCTGTATGTGTACACGAAATGTCAGGGCATGCCTGATCTTCTATGCCAAATGCAAAACATACTAAGTTAGCTCATTTTAGATTATGATAACTCTAATTCTTTGCCAATAGGAGCCGTTAAAAGCATGCACATGAACATATATCAAAGCTTTGCTGATTCAGGAAAGCTGGTTAGCCAGTAGTAGCTCATTCAGATGTCAGATCCTTTAGATCTGCGCTGCTCCCTGCTGCACTTGTTCTGCTGATAAACAAAAGTCTTGAGGCCAAGAAGTGGCTACTTAAAATTATGATAGCTGGAAAAAAGAAAAACATTTGAGACTTCCTTAATAAAAGGTCTAACTGTATTTAAATATGCTGCCAACAAACCAAATCACTTGCTTTAACTTCAGCAGTTTATAGAGCTTAGAAACACACTACTGTATAACTGGATAGTAAATAAACTGCCATTATCCCAGCAAATAAACAAAACATGCTTTAAAATACATTTTTCTTTGAAGTCAAGGATCCAGTATTTGCACATTTACATGCTAATTTGCCAAATCACAGAATGTAAAATGGGTATCCCAGTAGTTAGGGTGTATTAGTGAGGGCCTATTGTGCCTGAATTACTCAACATGTTCTTCAAATTTACAACCTGTTTATAAATACAGTTAGATTCTGACCTGGAGAGAATAAAATACAACAGCAGTCAGCCCAATCCAGCTGTGCAGACTGTACATGTTAGGAATGTTCCTGGCATTGTGGTATTCAAACACAGCTACCATAGAAACAATTGCAAGAATCATAGCTATGGTATTTAATCCAGCATGTATGAACTTCATTAGGAGTTTGCTGCACTTCCAGGTCCAGGGCAACCTGTACACAATAATAGCTGAAGAAAGAACAGAAACAAGATTTTATGCCTTATAGGATAACTTCTCTCAGATTTTAATAATCATGCATCATTCACATAGTTCCATTGTAAATTACAGGAAAATCCAACCTTTAATCCTCTAAAAAAGTCTATTAAAAAGCTGCTTCTCCTACACATAGCATAGCATATTCCAAATATACAGCTGAGGCTTAAATATAGCTTTTAGGGAGATTTCTTCCTAATTTAAAAAAAACTTCAATGTGTTTCAAAAAAAGAACAGTAAACAACTTGGTGTCGTCTTTTCCTCATTCCTTAAATTGATCTAACAGGGTTTCTGCATAGGATTTTGGGTTTTTTGCTACTAGTCAGATTGGAGGAATAGGGCCCAATTCTTATACGCAGAAGACCACCTATTGAGAAAGTGTGTAAGAAAGATAATTTTTTCATATTTATTCTCTTTGCCAACTTCGGATAATACTATTCTCTAATTGCGTAGATATTTATATGACTATTGCATTGATATTAATAGGACTACTTTAAATGGGAAAATGCTACTCAGCATAAGGGAATCATAATCTGACTCTCTTAAGAGACAAAAGGATTTGGCAACTACAACTCTTCCAACACTGTTAGATGAAGGTAAGGGGGTTTTGCCTATATTTACTCTAGCAGACAGTGTTTTGTCCAGTCTGAACAAAACAACTTCTAGTGACCTAACTCCAGATGTCCATAAGAATAACTTAGCCTACAGCTGCT